CACGCGTTGCACTCTTTTTCCCTTGAACCGGTTTTGTCCCAAATGGGTTTTCCGGCACGGTTTTTAACGTGGCAACAGTAAGTCGTGCTAATTTAGATTGAAGGTCGATTACAAACCAGTATCAAAGATAGCGACAGAAGTATTCGAGGCCTCCCTATGATCGGCCCCGAACATTGGGGGGCATTACCCTCGGATAACGACTTTAGCAAGGAAAGGAACTTTGTGATTGAATGGTCTCGGCTCGATCGATAGGATTTAGTGTAAGGGCCAAACGGTCAAATGAATCGTGCCCACGTAGAATGCTTGAGCCCTGGCACAAAGCTTGTACACATGTGTAACTATTACGCACAAGAATAAAAAGAAGTCTCTACCTCGCGGATAAATATATTGTCCCTTAAAAATTTTTCTTTTTTCTTAAGGAATTTCCTATATCCGATCCCCTAAAGGTATCGAGCCCAAGGGCCACCTTAATTTGAGTTCAAATGATCACTCTCACTCGGGGACTACCGTCCAAAGACAAACTCAGACGGTCTAGGCTATCAGAGCCCGGGGGCGCAAGACCTATTAGGCAGCGCCCAAATCTTAAAGGCTACAGCCATCCCCATTGGGGGACTGTTATCTTAGGCAAGCCCGGATAACTCGGGGTGACAAGCCCACTGGGTAACACCAGAACTAAAGAGGCTACGGACATATTAAAATGGCTCAGAGACATCCGAGACCCATAACAAAAAATAAGGCCTTCAAAATTTCTTAACCGATTCTAAAATCTACCCTCGGTAAACTATAATCTAAAAAATTATAAGTACTTTGGGGAATTTTTTTGGTCATACCGAACCCCCACAATGCCTTAAACAAAATAATGTCGAAGGTAAGGCCTTTTCGAACCCCCGAACATGACCTAACTATTTCATACTAAGGCATTTCGATCTTTGCAAATATAAATAATAAAGCAAAGGAAAACAAAACTCAGAGATTGTCGAAGGGAAAAAGAAGCCTTGTATTATATATACATATAGTCTTTACAAAGGCCAAACGACCTTGACAAAAAGTACAAAAGTGCGTAAGTAAAAAAATACAAAAAACAAAGAAAAATGTACAAGGCACTTAAACGGCCTGGTCTTCACCAAAGCCCGCCTCGTCGCCAGCGTCTTTAGGGTCTCCTACGCCCTTGGATCCGCTCGAACCCTCAGAGTCTTCATCATCCTCAAGATAAGACAACTTCTTGGCCTCGACTTCGAGCCCTTTAGCACTCTCAATTTCAGCCGACAAGTCCAAACCCTGAGCATGAATTTCCTCGAGGACCTCCCTTCAGGATTGCCACTTCGCGTGCTCGACGATATCCTTCGTTCAATCCTGGGCCGCCTCGGCATCAGCCTTATATTGGTCACCATCTCGTCGGCATTGACTTTAACCACCACGGCCACCGACTTGACTATTTCAAGCTCCTTGGCCAGGGTTTCTTGATTAGAGACGACCGAACTTAGCTGAGATTGGAGCTCCTCAATCTTTTTGGCCTGCACCTTGGCCTTTTACTTTGCCGCCCGAAGCTAGACCTCAGTCAAAGCCAATTGTGCCCGAGCAGTTTCCTTTTCCGAGGCCAAGCGGACCATTTTTCTTTTCCATTCTTTGACCTCGACCTATATCACGTCCATCTCTGCCCGAAGTTGGTTGATCCGATCAAGCTTCTGTTGGACCTGCGGGTTCAGACCGTTATTCACCGAGTCTAGCTCATCATCACTAACCTCAAGACTTTTACCTTTTCCACCAGGCCGACATGCTCTTTCTGAGCCGCGTCCAACTCGGCCCGAAGACTCTTAGCCTCTTCCTTGCATCGCTCACGGATAAGTTTGCACATATCTCTCATCTCAGTAAGCTCCTTGGATTCGACCTCAAGGAGACTTAGCTCTTCTCGGTATCGAAGGAAGGTCTCGTGGTAAAGCACCGAGGCCTATGAATACAACGAGAAATATTAAGATCACTAAGTAACCAAAGTTGGAAATTGACAAGGTTTGGTAACACCTTACCCGATTCAGCGCTTGCTGTGCTTCGTTAAACAGGCATGGGGAATCTACTTCATTTATCTTTGACTGGTCTTCTTCATTCACCATGTATCGGAGGTAATTAGCTACCCCAACGGGTGCGAAAAGGAGCCGTGCATCCCCCGGAATGGAGATAATGGTCGAATGCTTCTGACTGGGATTGGCACTCGGGGCAAGGAACCGGTTGACCAGTCTCGAGCTCAAACCAGACCCACCTACCCCCGAGGGCAGACTTTTCCTTGGTACTTCTAAGTCACCTAATCCGGTGACATCCTCCGTGCTAGTAGAATCCACGCCATCAAAAAGGCTTTGGAGAGGATCGTTCACTTCCTTAACCCCCTTATTTAATCGTTCCTTCGTCATCTGAGCTTCACCGAACATTGAGTCCATAAACGAGGGTGATCCCGTTATATCAATAACACCGGGTGGAGCAGAACCAACGTCTTGAGGGTTCTTGACCCTCACTATTACATTAGACTTTTGAGTTTGGGAGGGATTGGCCTCTGTTGTCCACCCTTCGGTTGATTCCCATTCTTCAGGGATCGATGGCTCTCCGGCCACTAAAATTTCATCCTTCTCGGACTCGTCCCGGAGCTGGTGGAGGGAGTCCGAGTCAAGTATTTGGGAGCTGGAGTTTTCTTTTGATTTGCGCACCAGCCTTCTCCTTGGTTTCTTCTTTTCTGAATTCGAAGAATTCGGAGCCCTTTTTCTTTTCTTCTCATCACCCTGTCTCGGAGCAGGGGACTCTTCGAGGAAGTTATAGCCATCGGATGGAGGCCTTAGTTTGACGTCCTTGGATAAACCTGTAAAAGAAAATGAAACAAGTAAGAACTTAATGACACGAGAGGGACCCAAATATTACTCACTCGGGAAAGAAATCTCACCATGAGAATGGGCCTCCCACCGGCCCTTTGAAAGTTCGCGCTATGAGCGCTCAGAATATGTCCTTTGTAACATGATGCCCTCGACCCACTCCTTGAGTCCAGGGACTGCATTTGGGATCCGAGTGACAGCTGCACCACCACAAAGCACCGATAAGAAGGAAGGAAAAAAGAGTAAAATAAAATTTTAAAAACAAAATTTTACTTACGTGATATATTCCACTTCTCGGGGAATGTCATGTGTACAACTAGAATCAAGTCCGAGATCCTCACTCGGACAAAACGACCTAGCCAGCCTCGATCCCAATCTTTATCAATACTCGAGAACGGGGCTTTACTAGCCCGATGTGCGAGCTTGATTTGCCTCCCGAAAGAGTCGGGGACTGTATAGGCACATGAGGTGGTCAAAAGTGAACGAGCATCCATCGATCTTGCTCACGAAGAACCGAAGAAGGATCATGATCCTCCAGAATGAATGGTGAATTTGACCGAGGCATACCTCGTATCTTTTGGAGAAGTCGATGATGACCGGATCCAATGGGCCTAGTGTAAAGGAATAAGTGTAAACACTTAAGTATCCCTCGACATGGGTGGTGATGTCTTCATCGGGTCCATGAACCACCACGTTCTTGTCAGCCCAAATGCAATCTTTTTTGACCGTAGGGAGGACCTCTTCGCTGATCGAGCATATGTATTTCGAGACCTCCTCACACTGGCCTTGTACGAAGGAAGGTTTTTCAACCTTGAAATTGGTGGTTATCGAGCATCCTCCAGGGATGAACATTTTCAATGAGGGTTCCGCTGCTGGTTCCTCGACAGCAGCACGTGAAATGGTCTCCTCGGTTGCCGACTGCGAGGTAGAAGGAGTTTCTTTTTGGGGAACGATTTTTGAAGTCTTCCCCATTTCTTTGAAGAAGGAGGAAAAATAAGGAAAAAGAGGAAGTTAAAGGAGTACGCTTGATGGTTTGGGATGAAGACGAACAAAAGTTCTTGTAAAAGATCTCAAATAACCGGGATATAAATGCCAGAAAATATTGGGATCTCTAAGGTGCGAGGATAGAAGGTTTGGATGTAAAGTTTGCTTAAACAAAGAAAGGGGTATTTATAGTTTTTCAACGGCGGTTCGCATCCAGGAGTGGCTGACCGGAAACTAACAAGCATTTAATGCCATTAAGACTTAACTGATGAGATGTTTCGTTTATTTTGTCGTTTCTGTCGCGGGGTATCGAAGTCAGAATCAGAAGCTCATGTCGTTTCTTGTCGTTTAATCTACGAAAAACAAGGGGACTATCTGTATACGGTCGAAATCGAGTTTGCCTATGGCATGGTAGGTCAGGTTCGGAATATGGCAATAAAGGGCTGAAGACGACCCCAAGTCTCACCAGGCTAGAATCCGGGGTCAGAACGCCTGCCTTCGAGAATATAGAGGCCGTGATCCCGGAATCGATCTTAGCCCCGAACGAGCTTGAAGTAACATTGTTAGCATAGCCAACAGAAGACCGATATATCCGTGACCAGTCAGATATTACGGCGGGAATCTTAGCACTTATCAATAAGGAACCGACAATCAGTGAATCAAGAGATTTTTTTTACCTTTTATAGAATTGTACCTAAAGTAGAACCCCTCTACTATATAAAGGGGGTCTAATAATTCATGTAACACATTGTAACACGCACTCAAAAGCAATACACTATTATTTTTTCTCTTTAAGCTCTTATTCAATTGTATCTTGATACTGATCGAAGGGCATCCAGTTCGAGGGTGGCTGACCTTCCAAGACTGAAACTATCCCATTCGTGTGGTTTGAATTTACTTTATCATTGTTTATTTCAATTGCAACTTAATTTATCACTTTGTGTCAAATTAATCCACGTCTCCGTAAAACCACTTACAAATTCAATTGTTATCCGATTTTGAGGTAAACAAAGTAGAAGCTTGTTCTTGTTGTATTATGTTTTCTCCTATTTAGAATGACTAATGGTAAATGTTAAAAAAGTGGTTAAATAAAAATGAGATATTTTAATCCCTTTCTAGACCAATTGTCTTCGAATTGAAAATAAACTAAGAAAACTGAAACATTGTGTTTTTTCTTGTTAAGAAAAAGTTCGCAACCAAACAGATTATAAGGCCCCTTGTCTCGTCCCGCCAGTTCATATATGTTTAGAACTTCAAAATTAAATTAACAAAAACTAAAAAGTGATGAAACTAACGGAAAACAAAATCTAAATTGCATAATCGCTCCTTATTATTCTTCAAATGAATCACCAAACCTCACAATCCTTTGGTTCTCAGTCACATTTCTACGTATCACTTCTCCAAGACAGCCTGAAAACAAAAAGACCGTTTGCCATAAAGTTAATCCATGGCCATATAGTCAAATCCGGCCTCCATTTTGGCGTTTTCCTTATGAATAATGTCATCAACGGTTATGCAAAAACCGGGTTTTTATCATATGCTCGTAAAGTGTTTGATGAAATGCCTGTAAGAGATACTTCTTCTTGGAATACACTTTTATCTGGGTATTCGAAACAAGGTTCGGTTAAGGAAGCATATTTGATATTTAAGGAAATGCCTTATCGCGATTCTGTTTCGTGGACTACTATGATTGTTGGGTACAATTTGGTTGGTCGTTTTCAGGTTGCAATTCAGATGTTTCTTGAGATGGTTGCTTCTGATGTTTTGCCGACCCAGTACACGTTTACAAGTGTTCTTGCTTCTTGTGCTGCAATTAGAGCACTATACGAGGGACAGAAAATTCACTCCTTTGTTGTTAAATTTGGGTTGAGTAGTCATGTTTCCGTGGCAAATTCTCTGTTGAATATGTATGCCAAGTCAGGTGATGCGAATGCAGCTCGAAATGTTTTTGACAGGATAGTTGTGAAGAACACCTCAAGCTGGAACGCGTTGATCTCGTTGCATATGCAGGCTGGTCGGGTGGATTTAGCACTGGCACAATTTGAGCAAATGGATGAGCATGACATAGTTTCTTGGAATTCAATGATCACAGGCTATAATCAGCACGGCTTTGACGTTCTAGCTCTTAATATGTTTTCTAGAATGCTTAAAGAATTTTCATTGGGACCTGATAGATATACTTTAGCTAGTGCTTTATCAGCTTGTGCTAATCTTGGGGAGTTAAATGTAGGAAAACAAATCCATGCTCATCTTATCAGAACTGAATTTGATACGTCAGGAGCTGTTGGGAATTCTTTGATTTGCATGTATTCCCGATGCGGTGGCGTAGACATTGCTCGAAAAATTTTAGAGAAAAATAGAGAGTCCAGTCTAAACGTCATTGCATTTACTGCACTACTAGATGGGTACATTAAGCTTGGTAATATAAGTCCAGCAAGGAAGATCTTTGACTCATTGAAGGACCGTGATGTGGTTGTTTGGACAGCCATGATTGTTGGTTACGTTCAAAATGGCCTTAATGATGATGCAATGGAACTCTTCAGGTCAATGGTTAAAGAAGGGCCAGACCCCAATAATTATACTCTAGCAGCAATGTTGAGTGTCTGTTCAAGTGTGGCATCCTTAAATCATGGTAAGCAAATCCATTCAGCAGCCATTAAATCAGGGAAAGCATTATCAGTTTCTGTTAGCAATGCCCTGATAACTATGTATGCCAAGGCTGGAAATATCAGCTGTGCGAGGAGAGTATTTGATTTGATACGCCTGAACAGAGACACGGTCTCTTGGACTTCCATGATCTTGGCTTTAGCTCAGCATGGACTTGGAGCTGAAGCCACACAATTGTTTGAGGATATGCTTGCACTTGAAATGAAGCCTGATCATATCACATATGTTGGTGTTCTTACTGCTTGCACACATGTAGGATTGGTCGCTCAAGGTCGTAATTATTACAAGATGATGAAAGAGATGCACAGTATTGAACCCACCTCCAGCCACTGTGCTTGCATGATTGACCTCTTTGGTCGTGCTGGGTTGCTAGAAGAAGCACAAGACTTCATAGAGAAGATGCCAATCGAACCAGATGTGATTGCATGGGGTTCACTTTTAGCATCTTGTAGGGTTCACAAAAAAGTGGAGCTAGCAAAAGTTGCAGCCGACAGATTGCTTTCAATTGATCCTGAAAATAGTGGGGCCTACTCAGCACTTGCTAATGTGTATTCTTCTTGTGGAAAATGGGAGGAAGCTGCCAAGATCAGAAAATCAATGAAGGATAGACAGGTCAAGAAAGAACAAGGATTTAGCTGGATTCAATTAAAAAATGTAGTCCATGTGTTTGGGGTAGATGATGGGCTTCATCCGCAGCGAGATGCTATTTATAAGACAATGGAAAAAATCTGGGAAGATATAAAAAAAATGGGATTCATTCCACAGACCGAGTCAGTGCTGCATGATCTTGATTATGAGGTGAAAGAGCAGATTCTTAGACATCACAGTGAGAAGCTTGCAATTGCATTTGGGTTAATAAATACCCCGGAGAACACTACTTTAAGGATCATGAAGAACCTTAGAGTTTGTAATGACTGTCACTCAGCAATCAAATTTATCTCCAAGCTTGTAGGGCGAGAAATTATTGTTAGGGATGCCACTCGTTTTCACCATTTTAAAGGAGGTTTCTGCTCTTGTCGTGACTACTGGTAGGTCTTGAACCAAATTTTATCTAGAATTACACATCAGAGCTGCTGAAGAAAAGTAAAAGAAAAAATCTACGATGCTGGATGCTACAAAGAAAAAGGAATCTGAGTTTGAGCAACTGATGGTTATGTTGTACAGCTTTGCACCCTACAACTGAAGATACATAACCTTCACTGATGGTTATGTTGTACAGCTTTGCCATCCTGTAAGTTGCTCCATAGAATGGGCTTTTAGCTATACTGTTGAATGATTCATGAGGTCTGACGTCTAATGGTCAAAAGACCTGCTCATGGTCAAAGTAATGTATTGAAGATAGACCCTGATAGCTTGATGGTTTTTACTAAAACACATTGGTCAGGTAAAGTGGCTATCCAGTTATAGCATTTAAACAAAAGACTGTATCTTGAGCAGTATTTTGTTAATTTTCTGAAACTGTAACAGACATTTATGTCTTCTGTACTAGCAATTTTATAAATTTTACATATATAAAGTATTTGATAGACTCTAAAATAAAAAAAGAATCAGATATTTTTGTATGTTCATCATTGACAGACTCAAATGGTATTGATGGAGCATTTGTTCTGCAGGATTCTATCTGACTAATCTATTGGATGAACTTCTTTCCCTCTCCCTCATCTCTCAGTACACTGAGTCAGGAACGTATGCAAACTGAATGCATCTACAGTTTATCCTGTTTCATAATTTTTATCATTTTACATAAATCACCTCATTCGGAGCCAAACCTGCAACTTTGCCTCATTTGGGAAACGTTCTTCTGGCTTCCTCACAGATTTTGAAATGCTTTTAGTTGGTTATTTTTCCTTTCTCTTTTGCCATTAAAAACACCAGATATGTCTGCACTGTTATCACTTGTAGTGGCATCTTCTCCCCTGCAAAGCTTATAATTGGTTCCTTACTAACAAGTCTCAAGCTGGATTAGCAAGGCCCTCAAAAGATGAAATAAGACGGAAGCTATTTTCCATGAGAAGTCTATATTTACTGACTTTTTAAATATGACCAAAGTCCCATTTCTTCTAGTAAACAATTTAAACAACCATGTCAAAGTGTTGCATACAATCAAGCTCATTAGCTGATGTTGTCATTGCAGATGCAGAATACATGATTCCACTTTGCTGTTGCTCTAGTTTGTGACTACATGCAGTGCAGGTCACATTTCTAGACGGATTTTCTGACATTTGTCTCATAGCGAGGTAAATTCATCTCTAAAAATTGTAGCATTTCATAGCTGATGGATTTTCTCATGCATCGACCAAAGTGATTCAAATTATGGAAAGTGATGTGAGAAACATTTTGTATATATTAGTCTTTGCAATCATAGTGAAATGGATGGTGAATCAATAGTGTCGATCAGGTTTGAAGAAACTGATTCACACTTGTAAGTACTTTGCCTATAGGATTATGGCTGGGTTGCATGCCTTGCCTGTTAGCAAAAGGTCAAGATTTCAACATTTGTACTTTTGCTTGTTTCAATACTAGCGTTCGATCCTGATTCTCACAGAAGCCTTGAGATGTTCAAAGACCATATTGTAATCTATCTTTTTCCACATTCATTGAACCATGTCAACTGTCAACATATGCTCAGTCTATGTTTATGTTTGTTTCTCTATATGATGCTCTCCTATTCTTCCCTTGCGAATATGTGTGTGCTTTCTTTCCTTGCTCCATCCTTGTCTTTTGTACCTTTCTATTGTAAATGCTACAATTTATATACTGTTGTGTTCCTTCTCTCTATGTTGCTCTTACTTATGCTAAATGGACTTTTCATAGTTGATGGCATGTTGGTGGTGGTGGAGGATCTCAAAAGTTGACTTTTTTCTAGTTGTTGTCTTATTGAAAATGTCATTTTCGCTATACTGCATCCAAGACTGCTGTCTTCTTCACCTTACTAGCTGATCATTGTTGGTCTTGAAACTCTCCGAAGCAAACAGTGTGGTCCCAGCAAAACTTTCAACAAGTTTAACGGACTTCTGTCACATGAGACTGACATGGTAGATCTGGCTCATTTTGGAGGGATACAAAGTGGTGCTCTGGCACCAAAAAATTCTTTTTTTTTCTTTCTTAAAGGTTCAGATTTCTTGTAGTTTAGAGCAAATGTGTAGACGATAATCGGTGATGTAAATAGGCTATTGGAAACATGGCATGAAACTCGGTGAGGAATGACTCATTTATTGTGGTAAGAAATTGAGATGTTTCCTTATTCGTTCCATTTGTCAAGCAAAACCCCTTTTTGTTATCTCATTGTCGGTTGTCGCATTCATTTATCGTGCTATATTGCTCTTTAGTTTCTATGTTCAATTACTCTTAACATGATAGTTTTTTGACATATATAATGGTCTTTGTGGTTCAGATCTTTGACTGATACAGAGTTTGGCTATTTCACTGTTAAAGTGTTCCATTGTGGTGCCTTAGTTCAAAGACCCAAGAGGAATTATATTCTGACTTTGTAGATGGTGAAGGTCTTAAATGCTGCAGTTGGGGGGAAAATGGTCAGAACAACTTGACCAAGAAGTGGGAGTTGATTATTCTTTGGCACAATCATATTGAAGACTTGTACATTTCCAATCTTATTAAAGACTTGTTTGAGGCAATAGGCTAATACTTTGCAACATTGAGGCTGGGTTGCGGAGATACAGAATTACAGATTGTTTTTGAACCCTCGAACATTTTCAATGGTGTTGGCAGTTTATCTCTTTGGATTTTCAACATGACAAATCTCAAGCTGAGAATTTGATTGGGAATGAGATGAATAAACTTGCTTTCAGGAAATGATATTTGATTGTAAAGAGATCCAGGGATTCAGACTATGGTGGGTCAGAAGATCAAGTATAGGCAACACAGATATCAATCCTGAAGGCAGGCTTCTAGCATCGTGGTGGGTGATTGATGGTTGGAGGTCCGACTGAAGGTAGGTACAATCATCAGCTGCAGCTTTTTTTTTCTCCTTTTTTTGGTGGGGAGAAATAAAGTAGAATTTAAATAGGTATAATTATCAGCTGCAATGTCTTTTTAGGCAATTTCATTTTATGTGATTTTAGGTCTATCTCGTCCATTTAAACACCTCCGGTCACCATATGTCACACCTACAATCCAATGCATCTAAAGGTGGTTGTATGACCTCTCTAAATCATCACAAACAATCTTCTCTTATTTTATCCTCCATGGGTGCTACTTACACGTTAATTTTGTGTAACGTGTATGACAGCATATCCATCCTAAAATCAGCATTTATGCTCTACCCATCTTCTGGATATGTTGAACCCCCAACATTCACTCCCTTATAATATTGCCGTTACTACTATTCTATGGGAACTAGCCTTTCATTGGTAGGTAAATCCTCCTATCAAATAACACTCCTGCCGCCATTCCATTTCAACCATCCTATTTTGATTTTATGTGTAATATCTTCATCAATCATACCGTTCTCTTGGAACATCGAGATCTCTGAATTGTTTACATTTAGGCACCGCAATCCCGTCTGTTCTCATCTCAGCTTCACTTTTTCTTTTTTGGCTAAAATGTACATTCAGTTGGACTTCTACTTATTCTAAAACCTTTTCTCTCTAAAGCGCTTCTCCATAGTTCAAGCTTTTAGTTGATAAACTTGCAATTTTTGCTGGTTAACAAATTTGTCTGAAAATGATTGTTAGTTAGCTCATCCATAAGTACGGTAAACAAGTACGAGCTCAATATCCATCAACCACGGCTATGAGAAACGCCTTTCTATATCCTAGTATCTTGGGGTGTCAATGGATCGGTTCAGCCAATTATTTCAATTTTGTCCTTGTAGAATTAACTTATTTGCATTTTTAATTTTCCTTTCTCAATAGCTAAATATAATTGATTAAGAAAAACTTTTAGCTTATGTGTATTGACGTGTATATTTTTCTACACTATCATATTAAACTAATTTACATCAACCTAAGAGTAAGTCTAATATATTAACATGAATTATAGAGTAAATAATTTAATATAATAAGTTAATATATTGAGATGCGGTAAAACTTCAAATCAAGAACATTTAACTTTGGAACTTCAGAAATTGAAATCACTTTTGAGTTAATTGAATGTTAAAATTATTCATCGGGTACCAAAAACTGGAACAGTGCAATAAGTCAAGTATTAAAAAATTTATGTTTTCTCACTTTAACTTTAAGTGATCTACCATAAAAAGCACCAAAGTTTGTGGTGGAGTTATAAGTACTCCTCTATCCTTAATCAAAGGTCTCGAGTTCGAGCCATGGGAGTGGAGTTGCCTTTGGTAGGGAGCCCTTTGTCCCACCAAAATGGGACTTTCCGGTGTGAATCCGGATTAGCCTAGTCCTAAAGCGGGTACCAAATACTGGGTGGGAAACCAAAAAAAATCTATCATACAAAATTGATTACTATATCAGCGTATAAAAATTAAACCCAAAGAAGTAAAACAATTTCTTAAAATTATAAAGTAGTATTCTCTCTATATTAAAGTTTAAGGTGTAAGTTTGAAACTTCTCAAATTTCTCCTCATATAATTGAATTATTTTCCTTTTCTGTTTTGCTTTCCTGATCGCTAAATCTACTTGATTAAGAAAGTCGTTTAACTTTTGTGTATTTACGTATATATTTGCAATAGACTACCATATTGACCTGTCTTATAACTACCAGTTTAAAGTAAGTGTAATATGCTAACATGAAATATAGAATGAATAATTCTCTATAACAGGTTAAGTTACACAGATACGCTAAATTTCCAAAACAAGAGGAATGCTTGCAAGTCAGCTAATACCATAGGTTACCAAAGAACTGACTTGCTTTATAACTGCTACATCTATAAATTCCGTTGTTTTATGAGAGAACCAACAAGCTCTGGGAATGAGAACTAGAAAAGTGACAAAGTGGTCAAAGAAGATGGGTGGTGTGAAGAAATGGTGGGGAAAATGGGTAGAAAACTTGAAGAGGAAGAAGACAATTAGAATAAGAAGAAGAGCAGTGATGAAACAGTTGGGAAAGAAGGTGGTGAACAGGAGGGTGAAAGGAAGAAGAATGAGAAGAAAACTGACAAAAAGAGTAAGAAGGGTAGTGGTTATGTTACCATGGAGAAGAAGAAGAAGAATTGAGCAAAGGCGACGAGAATTGCTGGCCATAATTAGAAGGTAAATACAAAGTATGGGGTCCTGGGAATGGGAAAGACCTCGGTTGGTACCTTGTCAATACATATATTTTAGTTAAGTCATTTAATCGATATTCCTTGGAACTTTGTGATTGGTAATTGACATGTTTGTCCTTCCTTTTTTATATGCAGGGGCAGAGCTGAATGTCCAACAACATGGAGAGAACTAGTGTATGAAGACAATAATGCTGATATTCAGAGATAGCCTCCTTCTGCATTCTTCCTCACCAAAGACAGTGTCTTTATTATTTGATAATGTATCAGTACTAAGCAATTTTGAATGTTATGTTGAGTTGATAATAGATCATTATATCATTTATGAATCCAAGAAATTTATCATATAGCGCGCAAATGGTGGTGTATTGTTTTTTCTTTATCTTTAGTTTAACTCTTCTATTGACCATTTGCGATAAAGTTTGTGTAGAATATTAGTTTTATAACGTACATTCATATTGCCAGAATCCACTGTAATTTGAGATAGACCCTCAGTTTTATAACGATCAATTTTGGGAGAATTTTGAAGACTTCCCTTCATTAGGTTCTGGCTAAGTTGACATATGGACCAAGATCTGATTTTCTTTCTTCACTGGATAATTCAGAGGAAAATTGAGGACTGCAGTTCTTTTCAGAACTGGATTGCTTAGAGTATCAGATATTCCATTCTGAATCTGGAGATATGTAATTAAATTGAGCTTTGCTCAAAGGTACATTGTTCTGTTTTTTTTTTCTCAAGAAAAGAACCTATTGCTATTCTAGGTGGAGATCTTTTGTTTATGCCTAGATATGTACATCTTAATTTTGGATGCATAAGCAAATTAAGGGAGACTGCTTGCACCTTTCTTCCTTAAGTACCATGAAGCTCTTTCTATACAAATGTACTTGTATCACAATAGTATAAACAAGCAAGAAATGTACATAACAAAGTTTTACGAATATGATCGATAGTTGAAATCAACAGAAGATAGATCCCAAAAATAAGTAAAATATTTGAGCAAATACATATGATCGGTAGTTCTTCTTTTTGGTTTCTCACCCGGTATCTGGTTCATATGATCAATAATTGCTATACCGTGAGTCTGTTTTCCGTAGTTAAATCTAACTGATTAAGAAAGTCGGTCAACTTCGATGTATTGACCTATATAATTTTTCGGCATTCTCATATTAAGTTGATCTACAACAACCTATTTAGAGCAACTATAATATGCTAACATAAGGTATAGAGAATATAATCTACTACTGCTAAAAGTTTAAATTACAGTAATATCAAAGATTTACAACAAGCTGCTCGGATTAAGGGTGTGTTTGGTACGAAGGAAATGATTTCCTAGAAAATGTTTTCATGGAAAATGATTTCCTAGAAAATGTTTTCATGGAAATGAGTGATTTTATCACTTATTTTCAATTGTTTGGTTGGTGAGTGGAAAACTTTTCCGAAAAATATTTACTAGTGTTTGGTTAGAGAGTAGAAAATATTTTTTTATCCTACTCTCCTCACTTCCCCTTCTCCCAAGTCCCCATGTTTTCTTGCCCCCTCCCCCTCCCCTCCTCCCAAATACCCAACGTTTTTAGGTTTCTATTTTCTTCAAGAATTTAATTATTCTTCTTAAAATTTATACAAACCTAAAATAACTAATGTACTGCTTTACGTTTTTACACAAAAATAACATTGAAATTTATGCTCCATAAATAAAAAGAAAATACTCTTTTTTTGGTTGAAAAAGAAAGTACTCTTTCTACAACATGAAAATAAATTACTCATTTTATTGAAATAAAAGAAAATACTTTTTCTACATCATGAAAAAAATATTATTTTGTTGAAATGAAAAACATACTTTTTCTATATCATAAAAAGAAAATACTCTTGAAATGAAAGAAAATACTTTTTACTACATCATTTTGTTGAAATGAAAGAAAATAATTTTTCTACATCATGAAAAGAAAGTATATTTTTTGTTAAAATGAAAAAAAATACTTTTTTATATCATGAAAAGAAAATACTCATTTGTTTATAACATGAAAAGAAAGTATTATAAATAAAATTTTTATTTAGGGTGTGGGGGATGGGGTGGATTGGTGGGGTAGGGNAGGAAAATATTTTTCCTTCTCTTGATATGGAAAATATTTTCCTCCAATTGGAGGAAAATGAGTTCATGAGTAAAATATTTTCCAAAATATTTAAGTCAATCAAACATAAAAAAATTAAAAAATATTTTCTAGAAAATATTTTCCTTCATACTAGACACACCCTAAGTCTACTATGTTACTAACATACTAAAATATAGTTCTTAAATAATCTACAATAATATTTTAAGTTACATTAGAGTGACTGATGGAGTATATTAATATAGTAACTAGAGAAACAATACGTAGTACATGTGTCACAATTTTTGAATATTAATTATCGGGTAAATTTCACAAATTGTCATCTTACTATGACTTTTTTTTTCCCACAAAAGTCATATAACTTGTTTTTTTATACAAAAATCATAAAACTTTTACTAACTCGCACAAAATCAAAGTGACCAGAAAATACAACTTTTCAGTAGTATTTTCGTATCCCACGATTTTTATTTTTTATTTTCATTCTACTAAGTAATAATCCAACTAAAATAGGAATGACCCAGCCCGACCCAATCACCCGAACCAAAACTCATATATATATAAATTAAAATGATAATAAAAGTGAATCCTTCAAAACACGATATATCTATCTTTTATTTTCTTTTCAAAAATTTTATTCAAATAGATAGCATTTTTGTTTCAAGTGCTCTCTAATTATACCTTTATTTATTTCTTTCTTTTGTCAGAATCTCATGCATCCCGAATATATTTTTTGTGGCCACTTTTAATATTTTAATTTATGTATATAGTTATTGGCTAGGTTGGATTGAGTCATTCCTATCTTAAGGAAAAATTACAAAAATAACTAGTACCGAAACTAATTGCATTCGCTAGCAAAAACAGAATATGTATATTATATGCATATAATACACACACACACACACACTGTATCTATGGGTGTGTCTCTCTCGATATATATATATATATATATATATTATTTTTGGAAGCGGCTAAAAATATAAATTTCTCCTATTTTAATTGGATTATTACTAAAAATAAAAAATAAAAAAACGTGGAATAAAAATACTACCGAAAAATTGTGTTTTTCGGTTATTATTATTTGTGGGTTAGTTAGTGAAAATTTTATGATTGTGTGAAAAAAAAATTATATGACTTTGGTGAAAGCTATATGACTATTTGTGAAATTTACCCAATATTATCCCGTGCTAATAATAGATACTACTATATCATTCCTGAATTCAAGAAATTAAATTAATGTGCCGCAAATGGTGGTGTATTGCATTATTTCTGGTCAGCAATTTGAATACATCAATTAGATTGGGGGATTATCACTTTTATCCCGCGCCAGAAAATAGTTACATTTAGTAGCCGAAAAAGTGTATAAAATATGTATAATTTTTGTATATAAGATACAGAATGTATAAATATACAAAAGTTATATATTTTTTGGCTAGTATTTTGAGAGCGACTATATAATGACATTCTCCCAATTAGAGGTTTGTAACGTACATCATTTTGGTAGTACCGGAATCCCCTCAAATTTGAGATGGATCCTCATGTTTTGATTCAAAAAGTCACAATATTAAGGAATGTAATTGTTTTAGGTCTAAATTTCTAGGGTTATAAATGGTTTATGATAAAGACGGTTCAAAATTTGAAGTTTATGAATTTCTACAACAATCTCAAATTATACAGGGAAATCTACTCTAAATGCCTATTCTGGCAATTTTAATTACCCGTTACTGCCCATTCTAATTTGTCTTACAATGTGTACCTATTCAAAATCCTTTCCTTTCTAATCCCGGATCACGTGAAACCCCATTAATTGCCCCAACCTATTTTCTCTTTTATTGTCTTCTCAAATATAAATAAACGTTTTTCTTCTATTTTTCTCATTTCATAATAGGATGTACGTGTCCATTGAATATTTTTTATTAGTTTATTCTCCATTTCAAAATGGTATATAGTATATTATTATATAACATATCTAAATTTTAGTATAATCGATGACGCTGAGTTAATTAAATTATATGACAATTGATATTATTTCAATTTAATAATTGAAATAAAAAAATCTTTTTTAAACTCTAATATTTTATACTTCAATACCACACAAGAAGAGGGAGGGGGTAATTTGTGTGGTGTCCAATTTTTCGCTTAAACTAATTATGGAAGGACCTGGTTCTTCTTAGTGTTCCTTAACCTACTATTGCTGAAATAGTAAATGCGAAAAGTAAAGAACACAAGTATTTTACGTGAAAAACACCTGGCTCAAAAGGTAAAAAAACCACGACCTACTTCTCAGTAGGATTTTTCCAAACTCTCCACTAAATCAATGAGCCAAAAACTGCATTTACAAAATACTTTTGTAAACCTAGGATTAACTCTAATCCCATTATGGCAAACAACCTCTAACTGTTGCGACAACTTCAAGTTAACTCTAACTTGAATACTATGAGTACCTATTACAATTGCCTCTAGATAAAGCTGAAAGGTACAATATGAAAATACCTACTACAATTGAACTAGAATAAAAGACAGACTCTTGGAACTGGTTCTTCTAACTGGTTCATATAGCTTCAGGCTTGCACACTTGAATCACATACGAACTGCTTGCAAAATGCCTTGCTATTTTGCTCTCAATTCACGTTAAACTTATGCTTTTGTTCATCCTTGTAAAATGAAACATCTTGCAATATATAGAGTTAGTAGATTAAGAAATAGCTAGAGTTGTAATGCTACTCTTCCTTGGTGGAAGAGTTCTAGTTGATCTCAACTTCTAACTACTCCCTTAACTTGGATATTGTTCTCTTTAATTAAGGAGTCCTTCTCCTTATCACTTATGCAGTCTTTTCGATCAGGAAATATCAATTATACCAAGTTAAGCTTATCTTCTTCACATGCATCCCACATGCTCGAATCTGCCCGTGTCTATGCACACAAGGGATGAACCTGGTTCATGCCTGAGCTTTCTTTGTCAATCTTCAAAATAAACCTTCACTTGGGCTAACAAATTCCCCCTTTTTGATGATGACAAACTCTGTGCTTTCATAAGCTTAGGCCTTGTTTCCACTCAGCTAAACATCAACACAATGTTAGAACATTTTACTTTTTTATCACTTATCGTCAAGGACCAGGTTCATTAGGTTATAAACATCACTGTTCAAAAGCACAGTTTTTTTCCCTTTTGGCATCATCGAAAAGTTGCATAACTAAGTAAGATAACCAGATCATAAACATTACTCATGACCACATGGGCTACTTCAAATGCAATCATGGATTAATCATCATAGATCAAGCTAAGAATTTTAACCATCAAAGAAATATAAACAAACATTTATAACAAAAGTCAGGAAACTTCATTGATAATTGATAAGATTCTACCATAAAGCATAAG